GGGTTGTCGTTCTGGTCCTGGATCAGTATTTTCACAGTCACATTACTACTGAGTGGAGGAGAGCCTCCATCCTGAGCTTTGACGCGGAAGTGGAAATCTTTGATCTGCTCGTAGTCAAAAGAGCGCACTGCATGGATGACTCCACTATCAGCACTAACGGACACATATGAGGAGACTGGCACTCCGTTAACAGAGGAGTCCTCCAGTATGTAAGAAACACGGGCATTCTGGTTCCAGTCAGCGTCTCTGGCTTTCACTGTGAATATGGAGAGACCTGGAGTGTTGTTTTCTACAATGTAGGCCTCATATGAGCTCCTCTCAAAGACAGGAGCGTTGTCATTGACATCAGAGATCTGTAAGGTGAGAGTGACGCTGCTGGAGAGGGAGGGCACTCCCTCATCAGAGCAGGTCACTGTGATGTTATACTCTGAAGATCTCTCTCTGTCTAATTCACTGTCTGTCATTAGACTATAGAATTTATCTGATGTTGACTGTAACATGAAAATATTATCATTAATGGCGCAATGCACTTTTCCATTTTCAGCGTAGTCCGCATCTTCCACGTTTATCATTGTCACTACAGTGTTAAGTTTTGCGTCTTCCGATATAACATTTGATTTCGACATAATATGAATATCAGGGCGGTTGTCATTCATGTCCAATACGTCAACTATCAGTTTACAAGAACCAGTTAATCCCCCATCATCACTAGCACGAATATTTACCTGAAAATTTCTGGCCTTCTCGTAGTCAGCTTTTCCTTTCAAAGTGACATCACCACTTTCCTTATTTATTTCAAACATTCCCCTGGCATGATCTAGCATGTTTGAAATTGAATAAGTTATTCTGCTATTAGATCCGTGATCTGCATCGGTTGCAGTAACTGTCACTACAACTGTTCCTACTGGTGAATTTTCCTTAATGGACGCTTTATAAACCGACTGTGTAAAAACAGGAGCATTATCATTAGCGTCTAAAACTGTGATGTGGATCTGCATTGTTCCCGTCATCTGCGGTTCGCCTCCATCTACCGCTGTCAAAATCAAAGCCAACTCTGCATTTTTCTCCCTGTCAAGTGGAGCATTTAACATCATTTCGACATTTTCACTACCATCTCCTTGATTATTTATTCTAAGAGAAAACATATCTGTTGGTTTGAGGACATATGTTTTTAAACTATTTTCGCCCACGTCGAGATCGGTCGCTCTATCTAAAGTGAATGTAGTCCCACTAAGCACCGATTCGCTTATATTAAAATGAACATCGTTTGTAAGAAAGGTCGGAGGGTTATCATTTATATCTGTGATTTCAACTGTGATACTGTAGAATTCCATGGGGTTTTCCAACAAAATCTGAAAATGCAAAGCGCAGGGCGTCATTTGTCCACAAAGCCCCTCTCGGTCGATCCTTTCTTTAAGCAGCAGAATTCCTTTTTCTCTGTTTAACTCGACGTACACAATGCTGTCTCGAGTAAAAACACGAGCCTTGCCGGATTTCAGTCTTGTGACATCTAAACCTAAATCCTGAGCTATGTTACCAACGAAGGAACCTATCGGCATTTCTTCAGGAATGGAGTAGCTGACCTGTCCAAGGACTGTGCTGAAGGAGAGAACCGAGATAAACAACAGTACTTGCCGTTTCATTGTTATGTCCGACCTCGCCTTGGCTCTGAGTCGTTCTGTAAACCTTTTAATCCCCTTTTAAATGTATCATAAATCCACTGTCAAAACAGGGTCTTGAAAATCTTCCAAGAGTAGTTCAAAAGTGACCGTCCAATGTCTTGGTATTTAATTTCTGTTGGATCATCCGCATCAGTGCTTTCTTGCATCTCTCCGTCTTTCTTCTGTCTCTAATATACAGAGATGATGGGAGGTACTACATCTGGTGTAAGACTGATACATACTAGTCAACAGCGTCTCTCTGAGTTCGAGGTCGAAACTACAAGAGAAATGCTCATACAATCTTAAGAGAAGTAATGTTTAGATTGAGCTAAATCATCTGAAACACCGATGCTGGTACAACAAAGTAAAAGTGAGACAATCTATTTACATTAGCCTACAGAGAAAAAGGCTGAGCGCGTTTTTGTGAGGGCAAGGAGTGATACAATCTAAACTCCTGGTAATGAAACGTAAAAATCATAGGAAGGGTGACATCAGAAGGCTAAATTAAGGCACATTAATAAGATTTAAATTCCTCAAAAAATCTGGTTCACTGGAAAACAATGTCTCTGTCCATGGTGCTGATAGAAAACTGAACAGCGACTGTTTATAACTTGATAAATTATATATGAACACACATATAGAACACATTTACAACCCTATTTAACTGACCTCCAGAGGAGAGTCTGGTTCATCCAGGATGCTCTTCTCACCCTGTATCTGCTGCATCGTCCCTGTAGAACTGGGGTCCATTATCAACACGTTCTGACTACCAGCTCCACCAAACTTACAGTCACTCTTCCTGGAGTCAGTCGTCCTACACACCTCGTAGTTGTACACGTGTTGGAGAGTCCCTGTCCCCAAAGTGTCTGAGTAACGTGGTGGATAATATGGAATCACAGGGAGATTGGAGTGATACAGGATGCGAGACTGTCTCCACCTGTAGATCTTCACTGATATAATAACCACTAAACAGGTGATGAAGAGGAAGGAAACTACAGCCAGAGCCAGCACTAAGTAAAAAGTCAGGTTGTCATTGTACTCCTTGTCGTGTGGAAAGTCAGTGAACTCCGACAGCACTTCAGGGAAGCTGTCCGCCACCGCCACGTTAACAATGACTGTAGCTGAACGAGAGGGCTGCCCGTTGTCCTCCACTATAACAGTCAGTCTCTGTTTCACTGTGTCTTTATCAGTCACCTGGCGGATAGTTCTGATTTCTCCATTCTGTAAGCCCACTTCAAACAGCGCCCTGTCTGTGGCTTTCTGCAGTTTATAGGAGAGCCAGGCATTCTGTCCAGAGTCCACATCAACAGCCACCACTTTAGTGACCAGATAGCCCACATCTGCTGAACGAGGCACCATTTCAGCCACCACAGAGCCTCCAGTCTGGACTGGGTACAGGACCTGAGGGGGGTTGTCGTTCTGGTCCTGGATCAGTATTTTCACTGTCACATTACTACTGAGTGGAGGAGAGCCTCCATCCTGAGCTTTGACAGTGAATATAAGCTCTTTGATCTGCTCATAATCAAATGAGCGAACTGCATGAATTACTCCGCTTTCTGCATTAATGGACATGTATTCAGACAATGACAATCCACTAATCTCACATTCTTCTAAAATATAGGAAACACGTGCATTCTGGTTTTCATCTGGGTCTTTAGCATGAACACTTAATACGGAGACACCTTGAGCGTTATTCTCTGTAATAAACGCGCTGTACAGGCCTCGTGAAAATACTGGAGCATTGTCATTGATATCTGAGATCTTTAAATAAAACATTCTTTTAGCTGAGAGAGGGGGCGAACCAGCGTCTGAGGCGATAACAGTGATGTTACACTCTGATACTTTTTCACGATCTAATGCAGCATCAGTTATCAATGCATAATAATTCCTCACATTGGATTTAATTTTAAAAGGAACACTGCCGTCAATCGAACACCTTATTTGTCCATTTTCACCGGAATCAAGATCTTTAACATTGATTATGCCAATGGTGGTACCAGCAGGCGAGTCCTCTGATACAGGACTTGTAAATGACATAACGTTGATAATAGGTGTGTTATCATTTACATCGACAACATCAAGTTCAACCTTACTCGAATTTGTCAGTCCTCCTTGATCTTTAGCTTCAACCATGAACTCAATTTTTCTGTCCTTTTCATAATCAATTTCTTTCGCCACATATATTCGTCCAGTGGCCTCATCTATGTCAAACACGTCAGCTATTCCTACTTTTGATTTGGAAAAGGAATATGTAATTTTACCGTTCGAACCGCTATCTATGTCTCTTGCATTCACGGTAACAACGTAAGTGCCTTTTGGAGCATTTTCAATCACAGTGGCCTTATACACTGACTGGTTAAACACAGGAGCATTGTCATTGATATCTAAGATAGTGATGCCTATATTTACTGTACCCGACCTTTGTGGATTTCCGCCGTCCACAGCCAACAGTTTTAGAGACAGGCGTGGCTGTGCTTCTCTGTCTAAGTGTTTCTGAAGCACCATCTCAGCATATTTACTGCCGTCCGGATTAACATGCTGTTTTAAAACAAAATTGTCATTCGGAGTTAAAATGTAGCTCTGCAAATCATTTTCGCCGACATCCGCATCGTCCGCACTCTCTAAGACAAAACGGGAACCAAGAGCAGCTGATTCACTTATTTCAAATTCCAAGTGTCTGTTTTGAAAAGTGGGAGCGTTGTCGTTTACATCCAGTACTTCTATGGTCACAGGGTGCAATTCCATTGGTTTTTCCAGTAAAATCTCAAAGGTAAAGCTACACGGTGTCACGTCTCCACAAAGATGCTCTCGGTCGATTCTCTCATTCACGACTAAAGTCCCTTTGTCTGTCTTCAGCTCAGTGTACTGGATGTTTTCTCCTGTCACGATACGGGCCCGACCAGAACGAAGCCTTTGTAAATCCAAACCAAGGTCTTGTGCGACGTTGCCAACAAGGGACCCTTTCTTCATCTCCTCTGGGATCGAATACCGAATCTGTGCCTCCGTTTGATTAAAAATAATAAGCTGAAAAATACACAGGTACACGGCCCGTCGCAATCGCCAAAACAGTCGCCATTTTACTCCTCTGTTTGTATTACGCTCTTTAAATGCCATGTTGTGAAGAAAACCGAAATAAGGTTTTAACTCAGTGAAGGAAACGCATGCACTCCACGGTAAAGTATATTAGCAAAGGACGTGTAAATCAACTGTGTATCCGAGTCCCAGCTCGTGTGAAACACTGAAAAGCTTCCTCTGTAAAATGCAGTTACAAGGGAGGGAACAGCACTGATTCACACTGTTGAATTGATTTAACAGGCAACAGCGTCACTTAGAGGCTACAGTATTGAACTTATATAACCAAGCACCGAAGTCCATGATTTTAGTGCCTCATCATAGTCTCTAGCATATTTGACAATAGAAATATGTTAATATTTTCTCATTGTAAACCCAGGCATGCATGTTTTCTGTGCCTCTACCAAATATTTTAAATTCAGAACTCCCTTCTGTTGGGAAAACGATACATCTGTAAAACAAGCAACCTGCCTCATATGACACAGCAAAAGAGAAAAAGGAAGAAAGAAACGAGGAAAGTTGAAATGTTAAATGACATATTTTCATAATCCGTATTTCATGAAAAAAGGCAAATTAACACCTGTGTTGAAGTCAAGTCATAGTCTAACAGTCAGACATGTTGCTCTCATAGGGTCTCACAATAAACCTACAGTATTATCTTCAACTGTTAACAGACAACACCAGTACAAATCAGCACTTCAGCACCATGGACAGCGCATGAGCTGCAGGTCCCTGTCTGTACTCTGTAGAGCAACAGGTCAACTTACCAGAGTTGACATGTGAGATATGACTGATGACTGCTCTTCTTTCTTCAGAGTTTCAGTTCCAGTGCCTTCCACGCTAACCAAACTTTCACTCACTGGCTGCATATATTTGATGTCGCTCTTCCTGGAGTCAGTCGTCCTACACACCTCGTAGTTGTAAACGTGCTGAAGAGTCCCTGTCCCTAAAGTGTCTGAGTAACGTGGTGGATAATATGGAATCACAGGGAGATTGGAGTGATACAGGATGCGAGACTGTCTCCACCTGTAGATCTTCACTGATATAATAACCACTAAACAGGTGATGAAGAGGAAGGAAACTACAGCCAGAGCCAGCACTAAGTAAAAAGTCAGGTTGTCATTGTACTCCTTGTCGTGTGGAAAGTCAGTGAACTCCGACAGCACTTCAGGGAAGCTGTCCGCCACCGCCACGTTAACAATGACTGTAGCTGAACGAGAGGGCTGCCCGTTGTCCTCCACTATAACAGTCAGTCTCTGTTTCACTGTGTCTTTATCAGTCACCTGGCGGATAGTTCTGATTTCTCCATTCTGTAAGCCCACTTCAAACAGCGCCCTGTCTGTGGCTTTCTGCAGTTTATAGGAGAGCCAGGCATTCTGTCCAGAGTCCACATCAACAGCCACCACTTTAGTGACCAGATAGCCCACATCTGCTGAACGAGGCACCATTTCAGCCACCACAGAGCCTCCAGTCTGGACTGGGTACAGGACTTGAGGGGGGTTGTCGTTCTGATCCTGGACGTGCACAATAACCGTTGTGTTACTGCTGAGTGGTGGTGAGCCTGCATCCTGTGCTTTAACTCGTATTTTAAACTCTTTGACCTGTTCATAGTCCAGTGAACGCAACGACTGAATGACTCCACTTTCTGTATTAATGGAGAAATACGTGGAGACCGGATTTCCACTAACCTCACCATCAATAAGAAAATATGCTATGCGTGCATTCTGACCCTGATCTGGATCAGTGGCGTGGATCTGCATCAGGGAGACACCGGGAGAATTGTTTTCCATAACCTGAGTAATGTAAACACTTTGGCTGAAAGCTGGTGCGTTGTCATTAATATCAGTCACCTCTAAAATCACACTTTTTCTGCTTGATAAGGCTGGCAATCCCTCATCCGTGGCAGTGAGAGTGATATTGTACTTGGAACGCTTTTCTCGGTCAAGGCTTTGGTCCGTGACCAGTGTGTAATAGTTTCTGAGAGATGACTTTACTTTGAAAGGGAGATTTTCATCTATATTTAAGCGGACTTGTCCATTTTTACCAGAATCTTTGTCTTGGACACTAATTAAGGCCACAACTGTGCCAGGAATAGAATCTTCTGAAATCTTACCCGAATATGAAGCCATCGTGATGACTGGACTGTTATCATTCACGTCTGCTATTTCAATAATTAATTTGCTGGCCCCCACTACACCCCAGGGATCTTTTGCTTGAATGTTTATTTCGTAATTCGGTGAAACTTCGTAATCAAGGCCACCGGTTAGTTTAACTTCTCCTGTGACAGAATTTATTTTGAAAGGGTATGAGGAGTCCTGCTCTAGGTGGGTGAAAGAATATGTTACGTTACCATTGTAACCTTGGTCTGCATCTACGGCACTGACTTTAGCAATAACTGTGCCAGGCAAAACATTTTCTAAGACAGACACTCTGTATAAGGACTGCGTAAAAACGGGGGCGTTGTCGTTTGCATCCAAAACAGACACATGTATCTTTACCGTTCCAGACCTCTGCGGTTCCCCACCATCTACAGCCGTTAATATGAGCGTGTGCTCGCTTTGTTTCTCGCGGTCTAAACCACTCTGAAGCATCATTTCGGCGTATTTACTCCCATCTTCTCGTGTGTGCTGTTTGAGAACAAAATGGTCGTTTGCTTTTAAAGAGTAACTTTGGAGAGAGTTTATTCCTACGTCTGGATCAGCTGCGCTGTCAAGCAAGAATGCAGTCCCTGTGGGCGTCGATTCGCTAATCTCCAAATTAATTTCCTTTTTGGGAAAAGCAGGAGCATGGTCGTTTACATCTTGTATTTCAATGGTAATGGAAAACAATTCAAGTGGGTCTTCGAGGACAATTTCTAGACTAAAGCTACACGGAGATTTTTTGGCGCATAATTTTTCTCTGTCAATTCTTTCATTGACAACAATATGCCCTTTGTTCTGGTTCAGCGCGACGTATTTGTTTTCATCATCTATAACGAGTCGAGCCCGACCAGAAACCAACCTTTTTACATCCAAGCCCAGGTCCTTTGCAACGTCTCCAACAAACAAGCCTTTTCTCATCTCCTCTGGAATGGAATAACGAATCTGTCCTCTAACTGCAGAAACAACGCAGAAAAGCAAAATGGAGACTCTCCAACCCAACGAGTTGCCTTTGCTCTTTAGTGAATCCATGTCGTCCCATGAATACCAGCTCCAAAATAACAGTTATTCCTATATGGAGCCAGGCTTCGAATCTCACTCACAATTTGTACCGTATACGTAGTCTTCTGTAAAATCCACAAAAGAGGTACATGTACACAATCATCATCTATTTCCTGCAAAGACGGGCGGTGTCTCTGTCTCTGAGATCAGGTCGATCCTATGTCTGCTTAGGCAACAGCACCACCAGCAGTTATGTTAAACAACATCACCCTCAGCATGTGTGGCCCAATGCAAGTCTGTTTAGGAGCTCTCTGTCTAACCTTCAATGCTACACAACATTAAAAGCCAAGGAAGAATAAAAAAGCCAAAATAGAGAATGCACATGTTTAAATCGCCACTATATTTAGAACGACTACTAATGATTTTCTTGTAATTTCTCAACATCTGTACTGGCTATTACCACCACGTTTAGATCTCAAACATATACGTGAAGGAGAACACTACATGACTTCTCTCCAGGTCCTGTAAAAGGAAATAGTCTGATGTGTAAGAGAGCAAACAATAGGCTATTCCTTTATAAATAATACTAAGAACAAATTGTGGGTATAAACACGCATAGAGCGAAATGATAAAGACTCAGACAGAGAGATATGGATGGACAGATGGACAGATAGACTGCTGTCATGATCCAGTATAACTCATTCACTCCAGTGACCTACATTTCAGCAGTGGAATTAACATCTAGTATGTAACTACTGCAACATTCATCCACAGCAGGCATGAATAAACACTGACACATTCCTCAGGTGTACATTCATTTTGTGTACCTAAAACATGCAGTCTGCAGAAATACCTTGCATTGTCCTCCCACTTGTCCCCATTGTCCTCCCACTTACACACAACATTCTAAACATCATGATTGTGCAGAATAATGAATGTGTTTATTCGGGCAATGACTGCACCACAGCGGCCAGGATCATTAATATTCATGTACTATAAAGCCTAGGGTAGCATTACACAGCACACACAAATAAGGACAATGCAGCTGCCTGTGTTTCTAGACTGTCAAATTCCAGTCTTACAAAGTAGAATTTGGGACACACCTGTCTCATACACATTTTTAAACTTATGTTAGCTGGTTGAATACAGTGTGTGTCTGTGTCTGTGGTGAAAAAAGATGGAGCTGGTTGAATACAGTGTGTGTCTGTGGTGAAAAAAGATGAAGAGGAAAACAGAAAAGATCAAAACTCATTCTGGCTTAGCTGTGTTTCATATTGATTGTGAGAGTGAATATAGTATGGTACTGGGGCTGTAATACTAATGTAAAAAAGTACTTGAAATGTAGTGCTGCATTAGAAATTTAAACAGAAAGCAAAATATAAATATCCTTACCTGCTCGATGCAAATGGAAGATCATTCAGGAAGTGCACAAAGATAGATAAAGATACACAGATAGAGAGAAAGAGAGAGAAGAAAACAATTAGTATGACAAATAAAAAACACAAACTAATCACATCCAGTCACATTCTTTTACACTCATATGGATTATATACATGTTCATAGGAAAATATTTAATGATATTATGGTTGGAACCAACTGTTTTATAGGAAATCTTGCAGGACATCATTAAATGTTCAAGCTATGAATTATTTTTAACAAATACAGTATACCTTATCACCCATTATCATGCAATGTTTTACATAGTACAGTGTCATCAATAGATTGTCAAGTTATGTGAAACAATGTTTTCTAATTCAAGGACAACTTACCAACCCAAGCACAATGCTTGTGCAAGAATCATCACAGGTGACGATATCAAATCAAACTGAGACTGACATGTGATGTCTACACTACTGTATTACCTATTGAAATATGTATTCATAAAAAAAATACCCCTAGCAAACATTGAAAACTCTGTGATGGTAAAATGTGTAGCCATGCTGCTAAACTATCATTTTCCAGTAACATCAACCACACTGCTGTTTTCTGTGACCCAGATAATAAATAAAAACAAGCACTTCTTGTTTCCTGTTTTCCTGCATTAGGAGATCAAATCAGCCCGCAGCTATAACACAAACAGAACCACATATGAATTCATTTGATGACAAAACCTCTTTTTTCATAGTAATGACACAGCCAGCAGGCAGGAATACACAGTCACCTCTGACACAGTAACACATCAACACTTAACCACTGGCCTGACTGCAACTCCAAACTAAGCTACTTTTCACCATTCATACAACAAATAACATAACATACAACTCCTCCAGAGTTGTGTGACTGAAGCGTTTGTGTCTTGATCCTTAAGAGGACTGGGTTGAGTGGAGAGATGATTTCAAACAATATTAAGGCTTAAGGATTTTTATTGATTTTTAAAAGGCCTTTGACACTATTCATTTTGAAATTTTACTTGATAAATTGGAAAGGTATGGTATTAGAGGTTTGGTGCTGAAAATGGATAAAAAGTTATTTGTCCAATTTGTAAGTCTGGGTGGGCATCAATCTGATTTTTTGGATATAGTATGTGGGGTCCCACAGGGGTCAGTTTTGCGCCCTAAACTTTTCATATTTTCATATAACTTTGTATTATTTGCTGATGATGCTACTGTATGGGCCTCTGGGGAAGACCTACAGCAACCTTTGGGTCTGATTACTCTGGAATTGGATAAGGTGAAGAAATGGTGTGACAGGAATAAGTTATCATTAAATTTGAAAAAACTAAGTTCATGTTGTTTGGATATGGAAGATTAACCTTATTTGGACTATTGTGTTGAGTGTTGGGGTAATACATATAAAAGTGCATTATGCTCATTATTTAAACTACAGAAAAGGGCCATTAGAATTGTTTATGGAATTGGTTACATGAAAGATTAGAATTGTTTATGGACTTGGTTACAGGGATCATATGAATTCATCATTTGCACTATCAGGTTTTTTAAAATTTTTTGATTTAGTAGAATATAAATCTGCTGTATTTATGTATAAAGTTAGATATAATTAGGTGCCAAGTGGTATTCGGAGTTTGTTTGGTGATCGAGAGGGTGGTTATGGATTGAGGGGCCACCTAAATTTAAAAACTCAGGTTATATGTACAACTAGGAAAAGTTTTTGTATATCTGTGTGTGGGGCAAAATTATGGAATAGATTGGGTGATGATTTAAAAAAAATGTATAAGTGTAAAACAATTTAAGAATAAATATAAAAAGGTCTGCATAGCTAGGTATTGGATAGAGGAAGTGTAATGATATTACCATGATATTATTGGTATATTTATGGGTGGGATATGAATAATTTATTGTATATAATTTGGTTATTAATTGTGTAATTGTGATTTCTGGCTAGAAGGAATGCAGGGATCCGGGGCCACGGGAATTTAACCAGTGTAGCTGTTTAGCTTAACACTTGAGTTGGGTTAATCATAGTTTGGATTATCAGGGGTAGAACTAGATAAGTATTACTTCTTTCTACTCCTTTGCAAGAATGTAATGATCATTTATCATCATGAGACATTTTTTTTCTTCTTTTTTTGGGGGGTTTCTGGTTGTTTTGAGGTATATATTGATCATGATTTCTTTTCCCTTATCTGTTTTATTATATGCTTGGAATTAATAAATAAAAAAAAGAAAGTCAGAACAAAAAAATTCCAAAAATTCCAAAGGAAAGCGCCTCCCCAGAACTGTGGATTCCACCAAGTCTAGTTTTATTTCCTCTGCAGCGAACACTGGGCTGTTGTCATTTATATCAGTAATATCCAAAACTAAGCTGTGTGCCTGAAGGGGATCTTCAAGTAAGAGCTGATACTGTGTGATGCACACAACTTGTGCACAGAGCTCTTCTCAGTCTATCCGCTGACTTATCAAAAGATTCCCTGACGCAGTTTCCAGTTCACACAGCTGTCTAGTCCCTTCTGCAACAAGACGGGCTCGATGAGCACCAAGCTCTGCCACTTCCAGCCCCAGATCCCGCGCAACATTCCCAATAACCGACCCCAGCTGCATCTCCTCTGGAAGGACATAACGAACTTCTCCAAATGAATCACCAAAAAAAATGGCAAACAATAAAAAAAGCAGCCACCATTTTACGTTCATTTGGTAGTCCATTATGAAACATGCGTTCATAAACAGATGTGCAGATGTCGACATTATAGCAAAATCATAAATATATGCATCCAATATCAAAGTGAAAATGCTGCTGTAAAAAAACTGTTCCCTGCTTCTCTAGCTGAGTAAATCATGCTCTAGTAGGCAATCTGTCATCTTGGATGCCTCTCTCTATCTTTGTTTCACCACTGCTCTATCGCTCCCTCTCTCACTAACTCACTCAGACGCACTCGCGCCAACACACACACTTTCTCACTCCCTCATACACACCTACATGCATACACAGCCTTCAGCTCTAACTCAATTCTCCAGTGCCACTGACACATATACGGTGAGACACGCCTCAGCATCCACGAGTCAGACATTATAAAAGAGCATCACCAAGAGTTTAAGAGGATAATTACAACAGTGGACATTGTGCTATGAGATACATGCATTATATTTTATTAGGCTATATCCGGCATTTCACGTGAACAAAATCAAATGCTGCAAAATAGGGTTCCATGAACTTAATGCTATACAAGATGAATCACATCTGTGTCTGAAGCAACAGGGGATGGACACAGTAAAAGCAACACCCGGACAATGTGATGCAATTCCATACAATAAACAAGACCTTTTTAAGCTAGTGCTTAATTTTTGATATTGTCTGAAATGTGTTGATTAATCCTACTGATACAATATTTTAACTGTTTATGGCTATATGGTTAGTGGTGCTGTTGTCTAACTGCACTGGAGATGAACACATTCATACTGTATGTGTGGTGATGACAGTAGACACACATATTACCCCTGCTCACGACACTCAACAAGAACACGTTTGCCATGGAAACCATCACATTTATGGGATCTAGCTGCCAAGTTGTTGTCTTCACATCACTCACAGTCTGTTTTTTTGTCCAATATGGGCAGTTAAATGTGTAGAAAGTAACACCAGGCATCCAAGAGTTGTGCACTTTCTGAGTCAAGAAGCAAAAGGGCTGGGAAAATCACTGCAGACCCTGACATTCTACATTACTTGGGATGACTTCTTTCCTCTGATATGTTGAACAGAGAACCTTACACCCACACAACACAACACATTCTT